GCATTTGTCTCAGCGGGAGCTAGATCTGCAGGAAGCTGAGCTCACCCTCCCCAGCCTGGGGAAGCCCTACAAGTCACTCATGGCACAAGAGAAGGGGGCCTCCAGGGGACGGGGTGGCAATGAGAGTGCCATGTGAGGGATGTCTTGGGAAAAACCCACTGCCTGAATGACCCACACCCTGAACACATATTCTGTCCGACGTGTTTGAGGGAAACTAAGATAAAGGAGCAGGAATGAAAGGATGTCCACAGTCTTCATTTCTCTCTGAGCCTATACTGAGAACTTGAGGGAGGTTGGGCAAGGGTGGAAATTGGAAATGTTTTTCCTGGGGTTGTGGGTATAGGAAGCTTCAGGTTCAACAAGGCGAGGGGTCATCTCATGCTCCTTATTTTCTTAAGGAGCAGTGTAATTGAAGGAGGCAAAGGGAAACCACTATTTCTTATAATAAAACAATATCCATGGCCTCTGTGTTGGGAGGATCTCAAGACCACTTTCAGGTTCCATGATTGGTTAAAAGGACTTACAAAACTCAGCAAAGCTGATGGGGTACACAAAAGCAGAAGTCGCACTTCACACCGTTTAGGCCTCATTTAGACAATGAAGAGGCTGAACCCCTCCCTGCCACCTCCCATTGGCAATGGCTGGGGCAATAACCCTTCTTAATTCCAGCTCAGAGAGCAGAGGGAGCACCTGTACCCTAGGAAGTCCCCACTTTGGTTTCCAGGGCCCAGTTCCTAACCCGCTCCCCCCCGACCCCATTTTACCCCCTCACTTCATCTCCCCACCCATGTAAACAAAGTTTGGGGCATTTGGAAAGGTACCTCTCTGCTCTGAGAAGGCAGGGGGCAGGGGGCCTCCCATGACTGCACAGGGATGTGCTTTAATTTTTACTTTGGTCTCAGAACAAGAAATAGATGGCATTGACTCCCAGGGCTCTGGCTGGTAAATGCCATCCTTATCTGCAAGGCTGAGAAAACCTCCCCACCTCTTTCTCCTCAACCATTGAGAGAGAAATGACAGCCCCAGAGAGAGACAGGATATGGTACAGGACCTAGGAGGCGAGGGGCTGCCTCTGCCACGACACAGGCACACTCACAGATTTCTGGTTTATTGCAGTGAAAGGACACAGATTAAAATCAGCAAAGGCAAGTAGCACATGGGACAAGGTCCAGGGGACATCAGATGTGAGCTTCCAGTTGTCCCTTCTTCGTGGAATTGCATGGCTGGCACTTTTTCTGCCACCATCAGTGCATGACAACACATAAAGTATTGCCAGGTAGGGAATCTCACCTGACCCTTGGTGTCCAGGATTTTTATTGGGAGTTTGTTGTGTAGGTGTGGAGTGCCTGCTGACCTTAATTACTCATTCTTCAGTTCCCCCAGAGGTCAAACTAATACAGCATTGCCCAGTGAACAAAAATAGGCATTTGCTGTAAATTACACTGTCAGCATAGAATACCTGGTATAGCTCAAGACTCCAGGCATACAAAGACACTTAAAAAAATGAAAAATTTTTTTTTACCCTAGTCAGTTTGGCTCAGTGGAGAGAGCGTCAGCCTGCTGACTGAAGGGTCCTGGGTTCGATTCTGGTCAAGGGCACGTACCTTGGTTGCAGGCTCCTCCTCAGCCCAGGCCCTGGTTGGGACAGGTGCAGGAGGCAACTAATCCATGAGTTTCTCTCACATCAATATTTCTCTGTCTTTCCCTCTCTCTTCCACTTGTTCTAAAAATCAATGGAAAAATATCCTCATGTAAGGATTAAGAGAAATAAATAAATAAATAAATAAATAAATAAATTTTCCTATGATTTAAAAATAATGTAATTGTTAAAAAAATGTTTTTACTGATTTCAGAGAGAAAGGGAGAGAGAAAGAGAGAGAGAGAGAGAGAGGGAGAGGGAGAGGAGAGGAGAGAGAGAGAGAGAGAGAGAGAGAGAGAGAGAGAGAGAGAGAGAGAGAAACATCAATGATGAGAGAGAATCATGGATCAGCTGCTTTCTGCATGCCCTCTACTGGGGATCGAGCAATCCAGACATGTGCCCTGACAAGGAATCAAAACCATGACCTTCTGGTTCTTAGGTCAATGCTCAACCACTGAGCCACACCAGCCAGGCCAAAGACACTTTTATCAGGCAAGATATCCCAAGGGCTCAAAGGTCACCTCCCAGGAGCCAATAAAGATCCAATCTTTTCTTTGGGATGTGCAGGCTTTGAGCACCCCTAGCCATCTGACTTAACCTTTTATTTTATACCCTCCACAGTTGAGAATAGAGGAAGCAGCTTCCAATGGGGATGAGTAGCCCCAACTCTTGATTCCTGAGAGCAATTGGCCTAGACACCTACCCCATGCTAGCCTCAAGGGGCTCTGTGTCTCCTAACTACACAAGGGTGGACGTTGGCCTCTTAGCATTATTTTCCTGCAGTCTAGTAAACCAGGTGGGACATTAAATATGACCTTAATATAGGTTTGGAGAAAACACATGTGAAGTAAACAAAGAGTAAAATGATTCTACCTATCAGGTAACTCAACTCCATGGCCCCTTTGTCCAGGAAACATGACATTAATTTTTTTTCTAAGTTAAATTAAGCTTCACTTGAGCATCTGTCCTTTCCAAGGGATATTCAAGCACAGGTATGTTTTGGAATGCCCCCACCCCAACTTTTGGGATCCTAAGGGATCCATTGGACATAAATAATTGAGAGAACTTGGAAGAGAATTCTAGAATTCTTTGATCTATTTGTAGTCACCATGGAGACATTTATGGTCAGAGACAAGAAATAATTCATGCAAAGGCAAGAGCCTCTTCTGCTTATTGTTGACAAAAGTCCCCAATCTGAGGTGTGGAAAAGAGAGACTTTAGTTAGGTGAACAGTTGCAACTAGGGGAAATGCAGCCTCTGGTGGAAATTGAAAGTGTGTCTGCTGAGGCAAAGGGAGTCTGCCTTTTACAGAGAAAGTACCTGCCCTGGTTTCCGATTGGTCCATTTTTAGGTGAATGAGTAATCAAGTGGGCACAGTTTGATTGGTCCAAAGAGCACTATCCTGATTGGTCAGCATTGTGTGTTCTGATTGATCATCATGGAGCTGCTCTGATTGGTCAGTATAGATGCAAATGAAGATGTAACTGTAGTTGCAAGATAAGGCAGGTTTCAGCCCAGGATTGGAAGATGATACCAGGAACTCCCTTATAAGGGTAGACTCAGATGGCAGGAACACAGTGCAGAAGGCTGGCAGCTCAGCCTGTGGCTTTTCCCTGAAACGCACAGTGCAGGGGAGGCCTCTGTCAGCAATGGGTGCTAGACTCTGGTTATGAATTTGTGCCCAGTTAACCACAAGGAGACCTTCTTGCCAGATATAGTCCTTCTTGAGGTTTCCACTGTAAAACGTCCTACTCCACATTTGACCCTGGGGAACTTTGCCTGGGATCCCAGGCTCAAACCAGAAATTCAGCCTCAGGCCTCACACCGCCCCATGGTCAGTGGCCTGTGTTTCCAGTGTGCTCCTTGTAGGAGCAGGGTATATTACTTTGCCAGGGCTGCATGACAAAGTCCCACAGACTGGAAGGCTTAAATAACAGACATTGATTTTCTTATACTTTTGGAGGCTGGCAGTCTGAGATCAAGTTGTCAGCAGGACTGGTTTCTGTTGAGGATTCTCTCCGTAGCTGGTAGATGGCTCTCTTCTCTTTGCACGTTCATATGATCAATGGATTTTTACATATTGATTTCATATTCTGCAACTTGACTGAATGTCACATAACCTCAGAAATCATCTCTGTAAATGAGTTTGCAGGGCTTCCAAATTAGATGCACATCACATCACTTCTGAGGATACATTTTAAAAGCCTGAGACATTTTTTGAGAGATCTATTTTGTCTTATTGGTTAGTTGACATCAATTCCAATTTAACTCTAATAACATTGACAAATTCTTATCAAAAGCAATGTCAGAGGAAAAAGGTTTATCATTGCCTCCTTCAATCTTTCAAGAAAGATAATCTTAAAAGTTGACAAATTTTAAAAATGTCATCTTACATCTCACATTTGGAAATCTAGATGGTAGGCTCCAAAGAGACGCATAGGCACATGATACGTGTATTGAAATGAGGCTTTCTTAACGAGTTACCTGGGAACCAAGGGAACCTAGACATCATATCTGGAGGTTAATGCAGCTGCCCTAGGAGTGATTCTGGCTCAGCAGGCAGTGTCCTGGGAACAAGCCAAGCTCTGTCTCCACCCCCATAATCCTGAACCCCTGTGACCAAGGCAGGGCACAGAGTCTCCACATAGGAGATACAGTAGGAGACTTAATATTTTTTTAAAAATCCAAACCATTACTTAAGATACCTGAGAAAGCACCAGGCTTTATTTATATAAAGTTAAAATGACTAGTTGTAAAGTGAAAAAGAGAATCCAAGATATGACCTGAAGAAAAAATGGTGAGAGAACAAAGAAGACCCAAGGAAAGTTTTGCTTTAAAACATATAAACTTAAGAAAATGGCCTGGCCCTAGCCAACTTGGCTCAGTGGATAGAGCGTCAGCCTGTGGACTGAGGGGTCCTGGGTTCGATTCCGGCCAAGGGCACATGCCTGGGTTGCCGGGCTTGATCCCCAGTAGGGGGCATACAGGAGGCAGCCAATCAATGATTCTCTCTCATCATTGATGTTTCCATCTCTCTCTCCTTCTCCCTTCCTCTCTGAAATCAATAAAGAAATATATTTAAAAAAAAAGAAAAATAAAATGGCCTGGCCTGTGTGCTCAGTGGTTGAGCGTTGAGCCAGGAACCAAGAGGTCACTGGTTCGATTCCCGGTCAGGGCACAATGCCCGGATTTTGGGCTCAATCCTCAGTAGGGAGCGTGCAGGAGGCAGCTGATGGATGTTTCTTTCTCATCCATGTTTTTATTTCTCTATCCCTTTCCCTTCCTCTTTCTCTAAAAAATCAATTAAACATATTTAAAAAAGAAAAGAAAATGAAAAATATCAGATAAAAGAAGCCAGCATTTCTGGTCCTCAGTATTATGTGCTCAGCTACTCACCGGGGGTCCTGTAACTGCTTTATTCCTGACAGTTACCACCCTGATAAGGAGTTCCCCCAGGGCCCTCTTCATGTCCCTGTTCCGAAGACTGTAGATGAAGGGGTTCAGCATGGGGGTGACCATGGTGTACATCACTGAGGCCACCAAACTTGTCCTAGAGGATGAAGTGGCTGCAGAACTGAGGTAGACCCCCAGGCCTGTGCCATAGAACAAGGAGACCACTGACAGGTGAGACCCACAGGTGGAGAAAGCTTTGTACTTGCCGCCAGCAGAGGAAATCCTCAGGATGGAGGACAAAATCTGAGCATAAGAGAAGAGGATTCCAGAGAGAGGGAAAACAGCTAGGACAATAGTCACAAAATATACCACCATGTTATTGACGAGGGGGTCAGAACAGGTGAGTTTCAGGACTTCAGGGAGATCACAAAACAAGTGTGGGATTTCAATGTTTGTGCAGAAGGACAGTCTCAAGACGGTCAAGGTTTCAAGCAGGGAGCCCATGACACTGATACACCAGGACCCCAGAGCCAGTAGTCCACAGAACCGAGGGCTCATGATGACGGCGTAGTGCAGGGGGTGACAGATGGCCACAAAGCGGTCATAGGCCATGATGGTGAGGAGTAAATTGTCCAAGCACCCAAACACAATGAAAAAAAAAATCTGGGTGATGCAGCCTTCATAGGTGATGGCTCTGCTCTGTGTCTGGATGTTCACCAGCATCTTTGGGACGGTGGTGGAGGTGAAACAGATGTCGACCAAGGACAGGTTGGAGAGGAAGAAGTACATGGGTGTGTGGAGGTGGGAGTCGGAGCTGATGGCCAGAATGATGAGCAGGTTTCCAGTAAATGTGACCAAGTACATGGACAGAAACAGCCCAAAGAGGACAGGCTGCAGGTCCGGCTTCTCTGAGAATCCCAGGAGGAGAAAGTTTCCCACTCTTGTTTGGTTTCCTCTTTCCATGGAGCTGCTGGGTTTTCCCAGAAGGAGGAAAACAAACAAACAAACAAACAAAAAACAACACAAATTTCACTTCAAATAAGAAATCCTTAGAATGATAGAAATATCCTTAATCCAAACCCAGGAAAATCATAGTCATTCATCTTAGGTAATGAACGGTTGGCCTTCTTTGCTGGCAAATTGTGGTTACTGTTGTTACCTGGGGGAATGTCTGTCTCTAGGTCCAGTGGTTCTCAAGTTGTGGTCCCTGACCAGCATCACTTGGTAAGCTGTTAGGGATGCACATTTTGGGGCTCACACGACCTATTGAATCAGATGCTTTGGCTGTGGAGCCAGTGTCTGTGCTTTAACATGCCCGCTCAGGAAGTCTGATGCTCGAAGTCGAGGACTACTTCTTGAGCAGTGGTTGCCTGCATCCGTAAGCAGTCAGCCCATTCCCAGCATCTCTGGCACTTTTTGCCCAGTACTTGTAGGATAGGGGGTTTTCCTAACTCTAGGCAGACCTTCCAGTAACTAAGAGGTTCCTTTATTGTGCTGTGGTTTCTGTATATTAGATCTTCTGGACCTTGGGTTCTCCTGCTAACAAAAATAATAACCCATGTTATTATTAATCATAGTCTACATTTCATGTATATTACTAATGTTCCTAGATAAAATAAAAAACTGAATTTCTAAATATAATCTCTTACGCTTCTAAACATTCAGTTTGTTTTTCACATGAGTTCATCTTTTCTTTTTAGCTTTATTGAGGTATAAGATTTACAAAAATTCGCACCTATTTAATGTATATATCTTGATAAGTTTAAACATAGGCATACAACCATGATACCAACACCACAATCAAGGAAATAAACATAACCATCACCTTAAGAAATGTTCCTGTATTCTTTGTGTGTGTGTGTTTGTGGTAAGAACACCTATGACCGATCCTCTTGACACTTTAAAGTACACAATACCGCACTATAGCAGATCTCTAGAACTTATTCATCTTGCATAACAGAAGTTTTATACCATGGGCTGGAGATAATGAATTGGCAGCTGAAAACCTTTTTTTAGCTGTGTATAATTTTAGTAAGGCAGTTAACACAGAACAAATATGTAAACCAGTAGCCACTTATTTTTATATTTATTTATATTTATTTTTAAATAATCACTCGAGGATATTTTTTTGTTGTTGATTTGAGAGAGAGAGAGACATTGAAGTGAGAGAGAAACATCAATCAGTTGCCTTCCAGACACACCCCAACCAGGGATCAAACTGCAACCTACGTATGTGCCCTGCTGGAGAAGTGAACCGACAACCTTTTGCTGTATGGGTCGAAGATCCAGCCAACTGAGCCATCTGGCCAGGGCACCAGTAGCCATTTTAAAGAGGCATTCAGTGACATACAGTATTTTCAGAATGTTTTGCAACCATTGTTTCCATCTAGTTCCAAAACATTGCATCATTATGGGAACTCACTGTACTATCTTTGTAAGTTTTCTATAAATCTAAAATTAGTAAAAAATAAAAAATAACAAAAAGTGGGTGCAAGGGAAAAACCCCTAGCAGTGTTTACATGTCTAGGAAAATCTCTTAGAAAATAGATCACAATTATTTCACATATTAACAAAAATTTAAATGTCTTAGAACAGGGACTGGAAACTTGCAAATACACAAAAATGAGAGTGATAAATTTACTAAATTAGCTAAAGTTTCTTGAGGCTCTCCATGTGTTGAGCACTTGTGCTATATTTTATATGCCTTGGCTTATTTTATCATCATCACTCTTTTTTATCACTATTGTTTGATTTAACAATGAATATTTGCTTACAATAATACAATGGTGACAATTAAAATGTATAGGTGTTCACTAGGTGATAGACACAAAAATCTTTCCAGTCTTTATCTTTTTAAATTTAATTCTCATATTATCCTTATGAAGAGGATACTATCAGTAGTCTCATTTTACAAATGTGGAAACTAAGACACAGAAACATTAATTAACTTGAGATCACAAGAGGTATGAATAAACTTACCAGTATAAGTCCTCACTAGGCAGAATTCCAGGGAATGTTTCTTGTTTGAATGAAGGAGTGAGTAAATGACTAAATACAGTTTTATAGATAGAAGAATATGGGTGAATCTTTGATAGAGGAACTTGTAGTGGCTCCTGAATAAATGGCTAAGATGGCTGGGTATGAAAGTCTTGACAGATGTTGGGGGCAGAGAGAAAGTCAATTTCCATTAGGAAGGTCAGAGATCCTTAGAATTGGGTCCCAGAAGAGAGAGAGAAAAGGAAGCTGAGAGAAAGAGAAATTGAGACACAGGAATTGTGTAGAATGTTTTAAGTAAATGGATTCTCACTATTGTGCCTCAAGTGATTATTTAAAATAAATATAAATAAATATAAAAATAAGTGGCTACTGGTTTACATATTTGTTTTGTGTTAACTAAAATTATACACAGCTAAAAGAGGTTTTCAGTTGCCAATTCATTATTTCCAGTCCATGGTATAAAACTTCTGTTATGCAAGATGAATAAGTTCTAGAGATCTGCTATAGTGCGGTATTGTGCACTTTAAAGTGTCAAGAGGATAGATCGCCATCTGTACCATCAAAGTTCATCCTTTGAGAGCTCTGCCTGCCTCCATACCTGTTTCCCACAGCAGATATCTGATGGTATTGCCCAACCACTAGTTTCCTTGGTCCTTCCTTCCCTGGGTGATGGATATTTAACCCAGCTCCAAGGATGGGCAGGGAGGGGGCATCAAGCATCTGTGCTCTGAAAAGCACAGTTGGACTCCCTCCTTCCTGGAATAGTTGATCTGTAGGTGAGAGAAGTAAGAGACATGTGTACTGTTTCTGGGGCTTTAGAGACTGAATTCTCACAAATCTTCATTAAGTTAATTGTCCCTTGGTTGCTCTATTCTCTGAACAATTTGGTTCCCAGAAGTGAAGGAACAAAAACAAAACAGAACTTTTTCTTCTAGTTTTGTTCCCTTGGGGTCGTTTTAGATGCCAGCTACATTTATCCCATCCCTTTGTTGCTGGAGTGGGTTTGCCTCAGGCTGGCCTGTAGTGTGTGGGTCCTTGACTTCCTGTAGGAAAGATTTCACAACATGAGTCCAGGCGGACTTGAGAGTATGTTCATTAACACTGGGGACAGTGAAACAAAGAAGAAACAAGGGTAGAAGAAACAACAGGGGAGAGCCTAGATGGTGCATGATTCTTTTTTTTGAGATCATCTTAGGCTGTTTTATTTTTGTTTATTTATTTTTTAAAATTAAATTTTATTGGGGTGACATTAGTCAACATGAACACATAGGTTTCATGTGTGGATTACTAAGTTACAAAATCTGTATATAGGACCATGTACCCACCACCCAAAGTCAAATCTTCTCCTGTCACCTCATATTAGGACCCCTTTCTGCCCCTACCCCCTCCCTCTGGCAACCACCACACTGTTGTTTGTGTTCATAAGTTTCAGTTTTATATTTCACATATGAGTGAAATCATATAGTTCTTAGCTTTTTATGTCTGACTTATTCACCTAGCATAATGTTCTCAAGGTCCATCCATGTTGTTGTAAATGATGCTATTTCATCCTTTCTTATGGCTGTGTAGTACTCCATTGTGTATATATACCACATCTTCTTTATCCAGTCCTCTATTGAAGGGCACTTTGGCCGTTTCCAAGTCTTGGCCACCGTGAATAATACTGCAATGAACACAAGGGTGCATATATCTTTGCAAATAAATGATTTCGAGTTTTTTTGGTGTATACCCAGAAGTGGGATTGTTGGGTCACATGGTAGCTCTATTTTTAGAGCTTTCCATAGTGGTTGTACTAGTTTACATTCCCACCAGCTGTGGGAATCTCTCCAGCACTTGTTGTTTGTCTTGTTGATAATGGCCACTCCAACTGGTGTAAGGTGGTGTCTCATTGTAGTTTTAATTTGCATTTCCTTGATCACCAGTGAGGTTGAACATCTTTTCGTATATCTAATGGCTGTTTGTATGTCTTCTTGGGAGAGGTGGATTTTCAGGTTCTCTGCCCACTTTTTGATTGGATTGTTTATTTGTTTGGTGTTGAGTTTTATGAGTTCTTTATATATTTTGGAAATTAAACCTTTGTCGGAGCTACTGTTTGCAAATATCATCTCCCATCTGTTTGGCTGCCTGTTTGTTTTGTTGTCTGTTTCTTTTGCTGTGCAGAAGCTCTTCAGTTTGATATAGTCCCATTCATTTATTTTTGCTTTTACCTCCCTTGCCTTTGGGGTCAAGTCCATAAAATGTTCTCTACCACCAGGTCCATAAGTTCGGTACCTATATATTTTTTTATGTTACTTATAGTTTCGGGTCTTATGTTTAAGTCTTTGATCCATTTTGAATTAATTTTTGTACATGGGGACAGACTGCAACCCAGTTTCATTCGTTTGCATGTGGCTTTCCAGTTTTCCCAGCACCACTTATTGAAGAGACTATCTTTACTCCAATATGTGTTTCTGGCTCCTTTGTCAAAAATTATCTGTCCATATATGTGTGGTTTTACAGCTGGGCTCTCTGTTCTGATCCATTGATCTGTGTATCTGTTTCTCTGCCAATACCATGCTGTTTTGAGTATTGTAGCTCTGTAGTATATTTTGAAATCAGGTAGTGTGATACCTCCAGCCTTGTTATTTTTTTTTTCAGGATTGCTTTGGCTATTCTGGGTCTTTGGTGGTTCCATACAAATCTAATGATTTCTCATCCTATTTCTTTAAAAAATGACATTGGGATTTTGATGGGGATTGCATTAAATCTGTATATTGCTTTGGGTAAAATGGCCATTTTAACTATGTTGATTCTTCCAATCCATGAATACGGGATATTTTTCCATTTCTTTGTGTCTTTTTCAATCTCTTTTAATAATTTTTTTTTTTATAATTTTCAGTATGTAGGTCTTTCACATTCTTTGTTAAGTTTATTCCTAGGTATTTTATTCTTTTGGTTGCTATTGCAAAATGAATTGTTTTCTCCATTTCTTTTTTTGAAGTTTTGTTGCTAGTGTACAGGAAGGCAATGGATTTTTGCACATTGATTTTGTATCCTGCAACTTGACTGTATTTGTTTATTGTTTCCAGTAGTTTTTTTTAGTAGAGTCTTTAGGGTTTTCTATATACAGCATCATTTCGTCCACAAAAAGTGACAGTTTGACTTCTTGCTTCATTTCCAGGACTGATTCTTTTTTAAATTTAAATTTCTTTGGAGAAATACTAATTTTGTTCATTGATTTGTTTTCTGAGTGCGCTGAATTGCCTGCCAGCATTTTCTCGCATCTCATTGAGTATTTCCAGAACTGCAATCTTGAAATCTCTGTCATTCAACCTGCATAATTCCATGTGTCCCAGCCTTTTTTTCTGGGGATTTTTCATTTTCTTTCTGTTCATCCTTGTGATGGTTGTTCATGGTCATGGCGTTCACTGTTTAACGTTTTCCCATTTATCTCTGAGGAGGTCTTTCTACTTTGTTCCAGTAGATGGCGCTGAATTGCAAGATTTTTATCCTCTGTGACCTCAAGTTTTGAGCCTCTGTTGCTTGGGGGTGAGGTTTGTTTTTCCCTGAGAGTAATGGCTACCCCTGATCTCC